CTGGAGACGCTGTGGCCCTGTCGTGGCCGGCGTCGAAGCTGACTGGGGTCGGTGCGCTCGGCGCGTCGTCGGAGTCACTTGGGCTCATAAACTATTAAAAAAGACGAAGTGAGTATATTGAGGTCTTAGTTCACTACTCCGAGTTACCTCTAAACCTTTCCTATGGCGTTATTCCGGGCGCAATCATGACGCGTCATCGTGGCCGCAATCATGTTGTCCAATGGTCCAGAAATTCGATCGCGCAACGTATGCTGTAAGCCGTTCTCTAACATACCTACTAAGAGTCAAACAAGGCTAGGCCCCACTCACTTATAAAATGTGCGGTACATTTACGACTCTGCCGCTTATCGAGGGAGATGAATACAAAGAGTGTCATATTATATGCGTTAACTGTACTCGAGTTAGACATAAATGCATGATCTTGCTCTACATAGATTATTCATTCAAATTGGAATGCAATGCGCTGAAAGGCGAAGGATACAGGTACCACGAACTTCATTTCTAGTGGAGCTTTGGGTAATCGTATGCCCATCTCTGTTTGAGAGCAGAAGAATTTTCGGTGCGGGCACGGATCTGCGATAGCTTTCGTTCAGGATATTGTTCTGTCCAAATATTCGGCGACGATAGGTCAAGAAGCCTTCAGCAAAGCATGGAAGACGAGTGCGACTTTGAGCCGCAGTTCTCAAGAAAATGCTTTTTTAGATGAGAGTAAGCAACGTTGTGTCTTATCCTCCATGAAGATTCTCCGTCAAAACGGTCAAAGCTAAGAACTTCAAACTTTACCTCTGCGATAGAAGAAATCAGCCCGATGCCATGATTACCTAACTTTGTTTCGATCGGGAGATTAAGCCTTAAACTCCAGACTGAATTCAGTGAAGACCAGTGATTGTGAGGCACGAGTAAGAGTGCAAGGTTCTTTATTAATAAGGAGGTTTCATACATATCACAAAGTCAGCTGAGTCAGAAAAATGCTAATCGGGCATGGCTTGACGACTATAAGTTCGTCGATTGGCCGAAGTGGGTAGCACAGGAGTATAAAAAGAGTTTTCATGTCTGCCGCAAGATGACGGCATACTAATGAACTAGGTTAGAAGTGCCGTAAAGTCTACATCTTACTAAGCTGTTCAGCAGCGAAAATAGACATTTGTTTTTGATTGACGATTGTATTTCGCTCATTTAACAATCTGCGATTTGGATTTGACACGTAATATTGGCTAAATTGCTCTCTCTCACCAAACTCTCCTTGTGATTCTCACTGTAGCCGTCGCTGATGTCGCGCTGTTTGATAAATAAGGCTCAAATACGAGCAAATAAGTACAACATTGCTTGATGGACTCTAATTTTGCGCTTGGTGAAGCAAAGAAGCCCATTCTTTTGTGCTTGAACACTTGGGATCAAGTAGTCAGAACCTAGCCTGTGCTATGTACAAGACACATGTGTGACACCTGATAGCACTTGTTGTCAATCCGATGATCACGACTTATCAGTCTCTATCCGCTGTGAGAAAGGAGCTCAATTTGCCCAATTTTCTACCGTGGACAGCTTGACACACCGAATAGCTTACTTATATTATTGATCTCGATGGAACAAGATGATTGGCGGTTCAGAGTTCGGTATTGGTTGTCGCTCGACCGGATGCGCATATCCGTCATGAGGATTTTACAACCAGGAACTCCCAGTTGGGCTTTGATAGAAGCTGATTTAAGCGTCTAGATCGTTGAGGGCATGCATTTTTTAAGAAACAGCGCGATTCCTCTTACTGCGGCAAACACTCCGAAAGGAACGCTGTGAGAATGACGGTTTATACCACATTAGCGCCAGCGACGTTTAATCAAAGTCAATCACACCACATCACGTCCATAGGAACAAACTACATCTACATCACTTTCGTCCGTAGTAGTGCAAAACAATGTTGTCCGAGTAGAGAAATAAATCAAACACTCGCGAGAAGTTCTCGGGTTTATGCGCTTGATAGAGCAGATATTTAACACAAACAAAGGCGACTTTGGCTACGACGAGACTCCAGTACTAAGCTTCTTCATTGGGACATGTGAGCAGATACCTCAGAAATATAGACCAACGTAGATTGGCCTATGCCCCCCTCCAAAAAAATGTGAGGAAGTCGCTTGACCAATTACTTGCACAATTATAAAGCAAATCATATCCACGTAGCACGGACTCCTAACAACCTTTGTGTAAAGAGTAATAAATGATCGTAGACTGCGAAAGAAGAGGTATTTTCAAGGCTGCATGCGTTCTCCGATGCTGGCTCTTAAAATCAGATTGGTGATATCACGTCGTATATGACGTTTGGCGTATGGTCGCACTTTACTCCAAGTAGAGCATATGGTCATGAGCGCGCCATTCTCACTAACTTAAAGTGATTGATAAAATCTATACATTTTATGATTCTGCGCTTTTTGGTTGTGAGGATTAGGGTAAACATGCTTCTTGCTAACTCGTATGTAGTCTCAACAGTACAGAGGCCGTTGCGCATACCACAGTTCTAAAAAGAATAGCTAGATGGTTGCCCCTCTTTTCCAGTTACACATTCGAGGTTAGGTAAATGCCGGATCGGCTCAATGCGGTGAAGGATGCAATTATAAGCCGCATACTTACAAGCTGTCGCGTGATATTGTGGTGATACCATAAAGTGAGGCGATACACGTTGCACACGGGTCAGATGCAATATGTGCTGCGCTGCTGAACGCTTTAGATAGTCAGAAGGTTGCAAATCTAGACACCGCTCATAGAGTGTTTGATTGCACAAAAACCAGCACTGATCCACTGGACATTTAACGAGTTGTGATTACGCATTAAGAAAACCAAAGGTATACATTATATACTTCCGCCAGGAATTTGTATTCAAAAGAGGCATATAATATGGTACAGATAGAGCTAGATTTTTGTTGCCAACTATGCATAAGTGGGCGAGGCTTTAATGCCACGTGCGAAATGTATCAATGCCGCATGCGTTGGCGCCATTATTAGCCTGATGTTGATAAGTCACCAGTAAAACCTTCACGTTTGGTCTCTAAAAAAATGCGCCATGATACCAGCTAATACCAGCATCGTGATCCATGTGGGACGTCTCAGCAAATTGGCTTACCTTACATATATTACCCGACCACAATGTTTCTTGACGTAGGTCTTTGCTAGAACAATTTGTCGGTGTTGAATGTTACAAATCGATATTCGCGTCGTGCAGCAAATTTTCGGCATACTTTTAAGAGCTTGAGTCCACATTAGAGTTTCCCGCCGCTGACCAATTACCCACAATTGGATGGATGAAAAGCCTTTGTGGGAGATTCTTTAGAAGCACTTGCGCGGAGTGACCGAGGTGCTGGAGCAGAGGAGCCCTACTCATTGTTTTTGCGCTTAATAGCACTGTACAAACATTAAGTGGCTTTTTACGCTTGAAGCAAAACAGTAAATTCATGTTGTGCCTATTTGGCATCGCAAAGAAGTGGATCCAGTTCTTATGTGGAAGAGACTGTCGGTGCTATTTAATTCGCTGATTTTATCCCATCTGCACACCCGAAATGTATTTATATATTGATCTGGCAAATCCAGTATTGGTGCATGAATGAGAATGTTTTTGACCCCGTCAATGCCTCCCGATGTTCAGTGTCCCAGCACCATTCCGCATCCTTCTTAAGACGATTTGACAATGGCCGTGCCATTCTGCGTAATTCTCGCTGTATTTGTGCACGTAGTTGGCGTGGCCAAGCCACTTGTGCAAGCCCTTTTACTTTTTTGAAACCGGCCAGTCTCCGATGGTCTTGACCTTAACGGGATCAGCTTGAAGACCACGCTTCCCGATGAAGCACCCTAATAAGGGGACTTCTTCGTTACCGAAGATGCACTTATCTGCATTAGCATACAGCGTATTCACGCGCATGCACTCGAGCGCCGCTGTTAAATGGACGATGTGGTTCATTTTATCTGTCCTCCCGTGCCCCGCACGACTGTGGACGATGATGTCGTCGAAGTATGTCTGTGCGTACACCCGATGGGGACTGATGAACTGCGTCACAAACGATCAAATGTTGCTGATGCATTTGACAGCCCTTGAGACATCACCAGTTACTACCAGAGCATCTCGCTCGGAGTACTCACCGCTATCAACGAAATATCACTTGCTCTTATAAGTAATTGGTAATACCCAACAACCAAGTCGAGTGAGCTGTGCTTTGTACATCTAATTATCTTGTTCTGGAGAACATTCTTTGGCGTCTGTGCCGAAATAGTGGCAGCATTGACCTTACTGAATGCGCAAACGATACGCCGATTGAACGGACACAAAACGTGGGTGTCGAATAAGGAGACTGGCTCTTCTGCGTCGTGCTTTGCACGGAAAAAGTCGTCAATGACGTCACACAGCTCCTCGAGCAAGGGCCATTGGCGTGTTACGCAGTATTTGTTTCACGGAACCAGGTCAGTCTAATGATGCACACCTCGGTCCGGTAGGACCCACGGCGGGTCTTTCGAGACTTGAAATCCTTCAACAAAAAGATGATACGAATCCTAGGGATTCCTCAGAGTTGATTGTCCACTTCGTGCAATCAATACCCTCATAGAGTCCTCCAGGACAGCTTTATCCAGAAGCAGCGACAAGTTAATCTCCTTGTTCGGTCGTATACTGACCACCTTGGCTAATTTGCCTGCCTTCAAGGCACCGCCAAACTCTTCGAGGGAAATTATGTCCAGGTCAAGGACAGCATCCACCGCAGGAATAGCCTCGAGGGTAACATCGCCGTCCTTTATCCCCGCCATACCGTTGACGAGAGTGTATAGCTGTGTGCTATCGTCTACGGTAGACACACCTTGGGTCAGGTTCGACGCCCGGCGTCTTGCAGCTAGCATAAGACGTCGCTGTCACCTCTTCCTAAATATTTTGCTGCTCAGCGGGACCAGTGTGAAAACGAACTATGTGAAAATGATATTATCAACATCATCCGACGAGGAACTGTTTGATCCGCAAGTCGTCGTCCAGTGGATAACGTGCCACTCCACGCATCTAAAAGTCCTTGCCAGAGATGCCTCGGACCTCGGTCGACCATGTCACTCGTGGCATGCAGCGACTGCTTCAAAATGTGAGCAGTGTTCAGTGGGTTACGCGCCACTCCACCAGAAGACGTGCGCGAAGCGCCAAAAATCTTCGACCTTCAATCGATTCACGGCTCATGGCGTTCCAGCCATGCCATACCAAGGATGAGATTATGCCTCAACCCAAGTCTAAGGCTAAGCAGCGTTTCACGCTATCAAATTCAAGAAAATTGACACCGAGGTCCACAGGGACCCTTGTCATAGTGACACGAGTCCCCGTCGCTATGCGAACAGTGATGGTGGCGCTCAATCACGCCCTCAGCGCAGCAGCATACAACTGACATCCTTCGATCGTGGAGCGTCGAGCATAATTACCCGACGCCCCGGAATTGATAAGGATTTTCCACGGCTTCTCAAAGCCCTTCCACGGTCGCTTTTACGACCAGTAAGCCCGGCTTACATACACGTTCCGTGTTCAAGAGTACATAGCTCTTTGGTGCTGAGCTCTACTGCCCTCTATCTCTTTAAGAATCGACAACACTCAGTTCTTCCCCAGTAGGGTGCCCCGCGCCTACTGGGTTTTGTCATTTTCCCGTGACAAACCAGGCTGGTAAGAAGCGGGGCGTCGCTTCGATGAACCTTGACGCGCCTTGCGCCGAAGACAAACAAACCGAAGATGACTAGTGTTCCCACCTTCTTTCTCTGCATAGCTGATATCCATTGGCTCAGGCCCGCTCGACGAGCTCTGACGGTGTGCATTCCAATCAGTTGGGCCAAATTAAAGTTTGATTCGGCATTCAATACCTCATTCACCGCTTCTTAAGTCGAAGACGGATACACACGAAAGACTTTCATTCTGCCCACGCCAGTGCTGAGGCCCTCCATAAAGACAGTCACTGTGACCGCCTCGGGGGGAGAATCAGCTGCCATTCCGGCAATGAGAGTTCGCAACTTTTAGTTAGAGTCCACCAATTTCTTCTTGCTCTGTCAGGCGGCAAGAAAACGGGATCGCACGCGATATGCTCGGTTAGGCGGCGAGATCACTCACAGCTTCGGCTCCAATCAGATAAAAACGCCGCTTCGGCCGAAGTGCCGCACGTCATTGCCCATTCCCGCGCTCGACCCCCGAGCTTTAGAGATAGCTAGCGCCACGCACGGTTGCTCGTTCTGGGGCATGGCGGACGCCATAGCCATCTCGGCTTTTTACACACAGAGCAGGAGATTCTCTTCCCTCCTTACCGTCGACGGTATTAACGCTCACCATTAGCGGCCTTGGTCTGAGGGAGTCATCCGCTGTCGACGGTGGCGTCATGGACGCGGTCGCCACCGACGTCTTCTGCTTGAGGTGCCCTAGCAGAGCCTGGGTTAAGGTCTTGGGTGCTCTGGAGGTCGCATCACTCGCCACTGGTTCTAGTATAGAGCGAAGGATGATGACCTTGGGTAAGCCTTCTCTAAGCAAAGAGCTACGGCAGCCTTGCTGCACTTGGTAGCACTGGTAGTCAATCTACGCCGAGTCGTGACGACTGATCCTCTGTGACGATGTAACAATTCTCCTATTTGCCCAGAGCATGGGCTATAACGCTGATGTCCCTGCTTGGCCCTGAAGGCGCGCAACACCTTTCTTCACAAGGAACTGAAGCGACAAGCGCGCGCGTAGAGGCGATTTCGAGCTATGAAAAAATGGCAAAAAAATGTAAATCTCTGGGGTTTTCCAATCAGAAAGTAAAACCTAATAATTATGAATAACTACTGACAGTCCCGTAGTGGGGTCTTATTACAGTGTAGCCATACCATTGTGTGATTACACCGTCTTGTGTAATCCGCGTCTTTTTACGGTCACACCAACTTGTGTGACCCACCCTTTCATTACAGGGTACGTGTAACCCCGTTACACTAGGGCTCAAGAGGTAAGTCGCTTGACGTGTGACCGGGAGATAGGTACCTAGTTTGTCACATACTGTATCTAACAACAGGCAACCGAAAATAGCAATCACACCCAGAAAGTAGGTCTTCTGCTTTGCCAAATGGATGCGTGTTAGTCGGGTGTGCTGGAGGCCTCACTAACCGAAAGGGCCCCTTAGAGTAGTAAGGGGTATGAAACTTGGTCCCAAAAAAAGTCAGATAGCTATCAGCATCCCGCGCTAGAGAAAGCTTTATTCTACCGTTTGGGTTCCAATAGCTCAAATTTCTTGCGTGCTACATTTAAACTGAAGAAAAATGATACATACCGATTTAAGTCGATGTAGCTTAACCAAACCTGATTCTCGGTACAAACATCTGGTAAAACACTTACAAGTCGACTTTCAGGATACTTGACTATATTTATGTGTTGAAAACGCAAAAGGTAAACGGCATCACTTCTGAGGTGGCACGAGTTTCAGGGCCTCGTTACTACGTGAGAAAGAGAGTCAACTAATACTCAGTGTATCCTATTAATCGTTTCATTGTAGATATAGTAGATGTTTTAACACAAATGCTATTTTTGTTCGTGTAACAAAATTTGAATCACTAGCGAAAATTGAAGCTAAACAACCTGTAAATTATGCGGTCATAATGTCTTTCGAAAGCCATTATGGCAAAAGTTGTCGGCGCTATAGCGCATCTATCCTTGTCGGGTTTTTTGCAAACTTTGTGAGTGAAACAGGAAGCAGTCAAGCTGACAAAAGAAGATTGTCAGTGAAGAACCAGATAAAGGTAGCGTCATTACGTCACTTCATGATTATTCCGCTGATAGTGAAGTTGACTTAGATGATCACATCTGTTGCGAATGTAGCGATAGTGGTTCATATTATTTAATAATATGCAGTAAGTCAGGTCAATCATTAGTTTTATTTGAGTCTGAAAGTTATCTCAAAAGTTGGAAATCAGCTAGTTCGTCCACAGTAATCACTCTGCTTCCGATTACAGGCATTATTAAAGCACTTAGCTATAAACCTGTACTTGCATCATTTCCTATTTGTAAAAGTCCAATGGACTTCTACAGGTAAGGATTACCAACTGATGAGTGATTTCGACATCCAAAGCGACAATGCATTTATAACCTTTTTTGACCTATACGGTCAAACAAGAGTTATTTTACCTTTTCAACTTATTAATATTTCAGGCAGTTTGAAGATTGTATGAAAAGAAAGTCGAAAATTGCTGAGACTTTGGGGAGATAAATAATTCTTGATGCACAACTTCACCCAATCAGTACTCATGGAATGATTTGTTCCAGCAACGATACCAATAGTTGGACGTACTCTAAATTCCATATCCTACCGAAGAGACGCCAACTTTCTCTATCAAATGATACGCATCGTTAATAAGATTGATACTTGGCAGCAATTTGATGAATTCACTACATTTAATAGGAAAAGTCGACGATCATCTTTACGCAATGTGATACATCATTTTCTACTAATGGTAGTAATGACAGCTGCACTTACCCCGCTAACGTCAGTGTCTTCGACCGTCATGAATTCGATTGCTCGTACGTTTATTCAAATAAGTCAAAGTATGTAATCATAGTCATCACATTGACTAGATAATTCAACTTACAGTGCAGTGGAGCTTCGATGACGGTAGAAATGGTTGGGGACAGTCGACGTCGCTGGAAATGGGAGTGGAGGTCGACGCTGGTAGTGGACGACTACGAGGAGTGGTTTTGGATAGTGGAGACCCAAAATTAGCCTTCATAGACTCACCAGAATTGAACGTGTATATTGACGCCGATGAGCGCGATTTTCTTGTTTTTCGAATGATATATCTTGGTCAGTGTGATCTCGCGATGGTATCATTAGAGCGGTCTCCATCCAACCCGACGGTTTGGCCGAATGCCGATCCGCAAAAGTTAAACGATCCCATTCAAATACCTTTTCAATTGCACACAGATGCCTCAGGACAAGATAAAATCTACGCAATACCAGTCTGGAAGCACGTTACAGGCATCATACGTCGCGTACGCTTTCACCCATGTATTTCTCGTTCTTCCGTCACTGGACAAAGCTTTTCAATTGATTGGGTGGCGTTTGCCAAGGCTCCAGTCGTAACTAAAGTTCGTGGCTGTATTGACAAGTATTTCGACAATGGCAAAATTCCTGACACCAGCGACAATATCAGAACAGCACACCTTAATTGCACTGAGGCTGAGCACTGGACAAACGGATTTCATCATTCCTCGGCAGCAGTGTGTTCGACAATGAATCTTCCTCGGGCATCGACATACAATTGCATGCGGGATGGCGGTCAAATGATCACTATCAGTGGCAAACATTTTGGCACAGCTGACGCTGTCATTACCATTGACGGAGTGGATTGTTTGGACGTTGTCCATGTTACTCCTGAAGTGGAATTAACGTGTCGCTTGCCACCAGTAGCATCAAGATGGCTAGAAAATCCGGTGTATCCGTCCGTGGTTCGCGTTCAAAATGGACGATTGCTTCAATTATATGATGATGCCCCCCTGCTATCGTACGCTGCACCAGTGAGCGCACATTCGAAGCCATTGATCTCTAACGTGGCAGCCCATGCATTTGATGTTAATTGGAAAGCACCGGACGATGTTTGGGTCAGCATGACTATCACAGGCTATCGTGTAGCTTGGAAACATTGTACTGATGATTCATTCTCTCCGAATCACGCGACTGTGGTCGGAAATGTGACGTCTACTACGCTCATCGAACTTGCGAGTTCCACAAGTTATCAGGTGAAGGTTACACCGCTCACAGAAGATCAATGGCGTTATTCAAACGAGTGGAAGGACATCGACTTGTACGGACATCGTAAACAACTCCCAAATGCCGTAATTGGTTTCGACTCTGACGTCTCTTCCTGCATGCAAACACTATCACAAGGTATGAACTCTATCAATTATCTATAGGATCGTTCAAGTAATATTCGTGATGATGTCAAAACAGATTTTATATTTCCACACTTCAGCGCCAAACTTCTAACAAATCTCAGCGCACTTCCAGAAGCAATTACTCAACGAACGATTCCGACGCTTGGACCGACCGGTGAAGTTGGAGACCAAGGTCATTTCGGACTATTTTTGAACGGCAATACCCATGTAAGTAAGCCATTTTGGTGACAAAGTGTTCCTATTAGCACAATGATCGGCTGACTCGCTTCAAACAGCTTCAAAACTGCAACGCCTCCACTTCGTGTTGCGACGGTTATAACACGATAGCCCCGAGTAATACAAACGCAACCGTTGCCGAGTGTTCGCACGTGTGTCTCGAGAGCGACAGCAACTACCTCAATGAATCAAATCATACTTTTTTACCTACAAATACCAAAACAGCCGTAGTCAGTCTTAAAGCGCAAGTTTACATCTTCAACAAGTCAACTTTAATACAGCCAGCGTTCGCACCACCAATTTCAGCTCCATGTGGTATGGCATTAAGGCTCACTGCTTCTCAATCCTTTCTCACGGGTGCAGCTTGGTATCCACGACAAATGAATGTTCGAGAAGGCTTCACCACTACTTTCTCATTCGAAGCCACCAATCCTTCAGCTATTTGTCGTATCATGCATAATGTTCACACAAATTGCCAATCACGTGGAGGCGACGGATTTGCGTTTGTCATTCAAAATGATGTACAGCAAGAACTTGCAATGGGATCGGGGGGCATGTCTCTCGGGTATGGTGGTCTTAAAGACGCACTTGCGATTGAATTTGATACCTGGTTTAATCCAGAATTACTGGATGTCTACGAGAATCACATCAGTGTGCACGTTAGTGGCGTTGGAGGGACTTTGCTGCCTAACCATACTCACTCACTAGGCGCTACCAGTAATCTTCCAGATTTAGCAAAGGATGTTCATAACGTTCGAATCGTGTACAAGCCCAATCTGGACGAAAACATGTAATTTGCTTTCGTAATGTTTAATGAAGGAATTAAGTTATTAGTAATTGTATTTGTGCAGGCTGTTTGATGAAGCTTTCACCACCAGCACGCTCGCTGGATACTTTTTCTCCTCAGGTGCATGGCGATCGGGTATCGGACTACTAGCGATTTATGTGGACGATATGGACAGCCCTGTGCTCACGGTGCCATTACGAATTGAAAAAACGCTTGAGCTTTTCCATGGTCGGGCCTGGGTCGGCTTTACTGGAGCCACAGGGGCAAATGCATGGCAAACACTCGATATTTTGTCATGGAGTTTTGAATCCTTACGCCATAATATTGTTACGACAAAACCGCTTACGATCTGAATCCCGTAAGGCGAGGTACAGCATCTGTTTGATTAATTTCTAGCAAAGTCAGTCTTAACAAACAAAGCGACTGATTTATCTTGATAGACAGATTGATTGATCAACATGTACTTGAGTTTATTCTCCGACTTTTCTTAGTATAATTGCTCTCCTGCTCTCCATTCAAAAGCGTGCGTAGACCTCTTGTTTGCTCACGAATCTAATAAGTATTTGGTTTTAACTGCACAAGCCGAAACAGACAACAAAGCGACAGTACGCATTGCTCCATCTCGAAGTGCTGTCTTCATCCCACCATTTCACGCTCCTAGCGCATCCATAAAACTGTGCAAGGGAAAAAAGTAGTCCCCAATTCAGTTTGTGTTTCACAAAACCTACGCTGACATTTCTAATATGATATGCCGTTCTGACGAAGCAGCTTCTCTAGCTGTGCAATTCGAGCGTTCGCCGCCTCCAATTCAGATTTAAGCTTTCCTTCAGGTGTACTGTCCGACTTACTACCTCCACGGGCAAAACGAGCGACGCGAGCTGCAATACCAGCACCCACGCTGCTTGTTTTGGATGCAGAGCGATTACGTTTGCCGTCATTGGTTATTTTTCCCTGCAGTTCAGGACGAAGGGACATCAAGACCGGCGAGTTATCGGCACCGTTGAGCCAGTCGTCAGCAGACATTGAAGGAATACCGGCGTACGTGTCAGGAAATATATCATCTTGGAAAGCGTCCGATTTGCGCGGCACAAATACATGCAGCGGCTCAATCGCATTCGACGTGAGCTTCAGCAGACGTGTTGTCTCACACTTCATAATATCGCAACCACGTTTAGGAATCATTGCCATACCCTTTGCAGAAGTTGTCGAGCGGTACTCGCTTATGGGAAATGCAAATGGTTCGCCCTCTGACATTTCATAGTAGCGAATGTTACCATCACCTTTACCACAAAGGTATAATAGGTTTGTATCGGGGTCGTAGAATGGCATGATGACACCTGCCGCTTGATCAATATCCACCTTCTTGAGCTCCTTGTCCAAATTACGAGGATCCCAGACCTTAAACTGACGCTGACTTTGGCGCGTAAAACCCACCGAAACAAATGTCTCTTTGTCACCAAGAAAGCTCATTTTGACACTTTTGGTACCCATGTGAGCGTTATCTTTTTGCAAAGCAAGTTGGCCGGAACGGGCATCGTATAGACGTATAACCTTATCCTTGCACGAAGTAGCGAGCAAACTGCCAGTCCAGCTCCAAGCCAAGTCCTGAATCAAGTTTTCTCCGTGGTCCTCCATTTTTACAGTCTCAGAACCTTTTTCAATGTCCCATAATCGCACAGAAAAGTCGGACGACGTACTGGCCAATACATTGTTGGCTGTGGGATGAAATTTAATGAGTGTAACCTTACGGCCATGGCCAGTCAAGTCAACGAGCGGGTCTACGCATGTTTCAGTCAAACCTCCTTCAGGAATACCCCATACCTTTACCGTCGAGTCGTCCGAGGCTGAAGCGATTAGGTGCTCGTGAAAAGGATTGAAATCAAAGTCCAAAATTGCGCCTCGATGACCCGAAATGAGTGGAAAGTCAGGATCGAATTTGCCTACCTTTTCATAGGGCACCACAGCCATAGCGCCGCCACCAGCTTGAATAGAGACTGCAAAGAACTTTGTATTGCCCTTGATATAATTTTGTTCTCCTGTGGCCGTGGCTAACCGCACATTAGTGTAACATGACTCGAGCTTAGCAGGCTCAATGTACACGTGGCGGAATTTGCTCTGGCGCACAAAATGACTCATAATACGAAACTGTAGTGCTCTACGATCGAGTTGTTGTAACCTAATGGAAATTAGAGAATCACAATATTATCAGTACAAGTTTTCATTACATTAAAGAAAGTGATAGCATTCATTCCGCCTTGTCGTGTCCGCAATGCCATTCACACTCTGAGATATCAGATCTTGAGTTATAAGCGGCAATTGAGGCACATACTTGTAGAGAGACCACACGACTCAAAAATTTGTGGACACGAAAGGATGCACCGCAAAACGCAGTGTTTAAGTCGCGTAAATCTCTCATAAGGTCGGACAGACGTTCGTGATTTTTACTCACCTCGACGCGACTTTCTTGAATATGCACAGCGGGGGGAACCCTACAGCTCGACAAGAAGTACTGTGAGAGACACGAAGACAGAATAATATGCATTTGGTGATTTGCTGTTGTTGGGTTGAGATGTTAGAAAGAGACGAGACTAGATTACAAATGCGAGGGATATATACGACTATACAGAGGAAAACACTTACGACAAAATGACCGTTTCTAACTGGTTACGACGCAAGCGATGTAACTTAAAGGAATACACTCAAGTTCAAGAGTTTGCGTTTGTCTTTGCCACGAAAAGATAATGAGATGCATAACGAATCTCTCCCTGGCTATCACGCCGATCGATGCTAAAAAAGCGTGACATGCTGTTGAAATATTTCTTGCGGATTTGGACAAGCACGAAATTTCGCCTTAGTCCGACGTTTGTTTTCTTCGTTCGTTTGAAATTCCCAAGTTTCAAGCTGCTGTTTTGTTGTGGTTGATAACAGTATAGAACTGTGCAGCGTTGTATAACTACATGTATATTTGAGTAAAATATTTTGAGCTGTGCCTTTATATACTAATTGATACGCGGTCTAATAAAGTTTGGAATGATCGACAATATTTCACAAAGAACAATGCAAACAGAGAAGCGTATGAGAATCGAATCGACAGATGGAAATATGGATCTGACGACGGAGCTGTTGTGCCGCCAAGACTTTGTCGACATGAATCAAGGTGCGCTCTACTTTCCTGTTCTTCTTCACTTCACGTGTCTCTTACCTTTTGCAACATAGAGATGCACGAGTATGACGAGATGCGCGAGAACATAATCAAGCGGTCGCGAGAGATTCTTAAGGCCAGGTACAGTTTTGGACAGTGCACGATTCGCCATGTGACATAAGCGATGCAGCAAGTCACCAACAGCAATCATCTACAGTTGCAGTACTTACTCACACTCTACGCCAATTTTTGACGATACCACACACAGCAAACAGGCGATCTTTGCGTTGCATCGATCGGACAGAGCCGAAGCCTTGAAGCTGTTGGGCAACGCCGAAAGGGTGAGACTTCCGATAAACTGCAACGCACATTCATTTATATAGAGTGACTGGATGTGTGTTAATCGTGACAGGTAATTCCAGAGTTAGTGAAGCTGACGGAAAAAAATGCGTCGCTTCGAGACGGTGCGCTCTCATCTTCTTTAGAGGAATATGCAGAAGCCAAATGCTTTTATCACTACCTGGATACCAAATGTTTGCTGCCACGTCGTGATGTACCAATTGTCCTCATGAACGAGTATCTAGGCGGTGTCATTGACTTTACTGGTGAGATTCAAAAATATGATTCTTGTTTAGTGAGCTCACAACTTTTGCAGGTGAATTGATGCGCTATGCAGTTGTAAAGGCGACAGCGAGAGAGGTAGATGAAGTGATGCGATGCAAGGACATGGTTGAGGCCATTTCCGGTGAACTCATCCAGTTTGACTTTCGGAACGGACCACTCCGTCGCAAATTTGACTCAGTCAAATACAATGTGCGGAAATTGGAGGTATATTTAATATGGAGGTGAAGGACAAGTAATGTGGTGCAATTAACATTTGGCTGCTCGTTATCTATGTACTCAACTAGAACACGCTGTATGAGCTATCGTTAGTGACAAATTCGGGTCTGACTTTGCAGGCGCATTCGGTGCTAGAAGGACCGGTGGTTTCGGTTCGAGAGAACGAAGAATAAATTGGTGTCGTTCAAAAGCATTAATATTGGTTAGCTTACAAGAATGCAATCTGGAGGGTGTCGCATTTAAATATAATGAGTTGGCAGATTTTGAGCAAGACTTGTTAGCACAACCTCCTTCCGGCAATGGTATGATGAGTTCTGTCAAAAAAAATGCCTTGAATTACTAAAAGCTGCTCGTATACCTGGCACCACTACTTCAAAAATTTGATACATTGACCCGAGGAGTTGCAAATCGGCAACGCGAAGTACACTTTATTATAAAACTGCTATCTTGTAATCAATGCCCCTGTTGTGACGAGATGCCCTGTTTCGACTACTGTCAGCCAACGCACAGCTCCCAGCAGGCCTTTGAGCTAATTGCAAAGTCAAAAAAATGTTCGATGCAGTAGGAGGCATCAGAAATGTCATGCACGTTGTTAAAACTGCGAGATTGGCTCCATTCTCGTGCGTGGCTTGACCACTATATTGCCTCAAGAATGAGTATGCTCGCTGCAAGGTAAGCTGTTAAAAATCAAGAATCGGCAGTTATCCACACAGCGGAAAATGGCGTGGGTGTCTGCATTTACGACGCTACACCACAACGCTTATCCTGCTTGAGTCAACGTTCATACCCATACTGTTCAAGACGCCTCGTAGAAGCATTCAACCAGCAAAATTGCAACTTCTTGCATGTTCAAATATCAAAACCCGTTATTTATCTAAATGTCAGCGCAAAGACTTGGGAACCTCTCCAACGTTCCTTATTTCGATAGAAATTCTAGCCGCATTGCTCTCGCTTTGCAGCATACCAACTAGGCGTGGCAAATTACCCATTTCATGTTCGTGCGCTTGAAGTCCAGCACACTTCTCTTTGCGGTTTCGCAAATGTCCAAGCAGTAGATGTGAGGACCAGTCAATCCTTTGTCTTGATAAAAACATTACCGCACTAACGCGATGCTGGACGACGCTAGTAAACGTTTCGCTGTGGCAAGAACAATATGAAAAAATTGTCCCATTCGCGCGGAAAAATTAAGTGCTTGAACATGCTTCACCGCATCACGAAGCTCTAAAAACGCCGAACGACACAATTTACAATCAACACATGCATCACACAGCCAGTGAGCTGCGCATACATAGAGTGCTCCGACTTTGTGGCCTTAAAAGAATTGCAGGTAAGCGCTCCAAAAAATCGACGATACCGATACGCGCTTTGCATTTGCTCAGTCGCTGGCCATGCCTTGCGTGCATGCCCATTTAAAATTTTCAAGGCAAGATCTGGACGAGCTGGTGCAAGAAGAATATCCCGCGAAATCGAACTTGCAAACAGATAGCTATAATGCAGCGCTAATAATCGTTTTCAACTCTCAAATGAGCGTTGCTGTAGTGTCATGAGCCTGCTAAATGAGCAACTGAGCAATTACCACCCAGTCGCGAGATCAATGTCGCCGAGAAACTAATAGATATTTCCACCTTGCTCCAGCTAGTTCTCGTCAGTTCGCGGATTTATGCATGTCTTATAGGTTCAATAAATACTTTCCACTGCACAAGTGCCATTCGGTTCGACATATATTCGAGCGTCATGTCTTACAGTGTAACCGTACGTCGCATTCAAAAACGACGAAACGTCAGCGAGAGAAACTAGAACATCCTGCATCTGCTGGTGTTAAACGCTACTGAATTGTTTTTCAGGCTCTGAGACAGCAGCGTGTTTGAGCATTTCTTGAATCAAAAGCAGCATGATCGCGTAGCACGTGCCCTGTCGCCATAAATGGCATTTCTTCTCGCTCTATTAACGTCATAATGCCTCTCAATATAGTCGTAATGTCAAACAGATCATGCTTTGACTTGTCACGGCTTCCATAATCCTCCAAGTGCTGCATAGAAACATCTCGAGAAAGCAAGTGACATCTAATGAGTTTCAATATTTGCTTTGCATGTAAAAGCAAAATGCAGATCTAAAACGACAATCATCCGTAAGCTAAAAAAGTGGCAAGGAGTTAAAGATGACTCAAAATGACTGTTCCATCTTGAAACCAATCTGCTTCGTTGTCTCGCTAATAACTTCCTTTTCGTGTAAAAATTTGAAATCGTTATCGTTCACAAGTCATGATCCTCCACTCGAAGAGCAATTATTGCAAACAGATCGAGAATTCATGACACGACCAAGTGCAATTGATGGTATAAACGAATATGCCACAACGAGTTTTTCACGCTGTATACTGATTGAGTTCTGATTCAGCTTCTTGTTAACGATAATATGTGTACTAAAGTTTTTGTTTATGCCAAATGAGCCGGTCTTAAAGTTACGTAAAATGTATAAACAAATGCAATTTTTCTAGACAGCAAAATGATCATTTATTGCAAAAGAACCGATCGCCATAGAGTTACTACTCATAACCCTCCCTCACACTAATCAGTTTCTGAGCTCTCGATTTAATGGCGGCCGAGAACGTACCATGGGCGGCAGCCATCCTTTGCTACATTCAGTATGCCATCCTCATTACCTTTGGACATCTACGTGATCATGCCGGTCGCATTTTTGGTGGCTCTCGGTATTCAGATCATTCGAAGAAGGGTTACGCGCCATTACTTGTGGCTTTTGAAAACTTTTATACCAAGCGTATCTATCACCGTCTACAAGATGTCTTTAATCGTCCTGTCACCGGTCCTCCCGGTACGCTACGCTCTTTCTGCTCAATTTTCCCGCTTTCCCTCGCGTACTGACCTCCATATTTTGAAACAGGAGCACACATCGACCTAATCGAACGCTACTCAGTAGACGAGAACAAGACGTTACATAATAAGGATGGGTGTATCCAGAAATGTCTTAATCTTGGTTCGTATAACTATCTTGGCTTTGCAGACGACTGGATGAAAACGTGCAGTAAAGACGTCTTTCCTGCTGTACAACAGTTCGCATTGGCTTCGACGGTCCCACCGATGGAATTTGGTACTACAACAGTTCATATTGCATTAGAGAAAGCATTAGCTAAATTTATTGGCAAAGAAGCAGCTCTTGTCTATAATATGGGCTATGCTACTAACGCTACCAGTATTCCGGCGCTCACTGGCAAGGGTACGTTGATTCTAAGTGACGTGCTGAATCACACATCTATCGTTAACGGTGCTCGCGCGTCGGGGGCTTCGGTTGGTATATTCAAACACAATGATCCGAAACATCTCGAGAAGGTTCTCCGAACGAAAATAGCGGAAGGTCAGCCGCGGACCCATCGTCCATGGAAAAAAATAGTTGTGATGATTGAAGGAATTTATTCCATGGAGGGTGAGCTAGTGCGTCTTCGAGAGATGGTGGATTTGACGAAGAAGTATAAGGCATACATTTACGTCGACGAAGCTCACAGCATTGGCGCACTGGGCAACACTGGTCGCGGTATCTGCGAATATTCGGGTGTAGATCCGAGCGAGATTGACATTTTAATGGGCACATTTTCGAAAAGTTTTGGTGGTATGGGTGGATACATTGCAGCGTCAGAGGAGATTATTAATTTTGTTCGAGCCTCGAGCTCTGGTGCGATCTACGCGACCAGTTTGTCTCCGGTTATTGCGCAGCAAATCCTAACGGCTCTCAATATTATTGCGGGACTAGATGGATCAGACATAGGGCGACAAAAGATTTTGTCGCTGCGTGAAAATAGCAATTACTTTCGTCAGAAGCTTATCGACATGGGTGTAATTACACTGGGCGACTTTGACTCGCCTGTGATTCCAGTAATGCTGTATCATATGTCGAAGGTTGGTGAGTTCTCTCGCGAGTGCTTAAAACGCAACTTGGCTGTTGTGACGGTCGGATTTCCTGCAACTCCGCTGCTACTCGCTCGCGTTCGATTCTGTATCTCAGCTGCGCACACGCGAAAGGATATGGACATGGCTTTGGAGGCGTTAAAAGAAGTTTGTGACTTGTGTAATATCCGCTTTCAGAAGAAAGCTTACTCCTAGAGGAACGTACTCGATACAATGCTCACTTGATGCACCCCTTATATTGCAACGAAAACAACAATGATACTTCGTATCATTTATTTCTGCAGGGTATATTATTCCTTTCGCTTTTAATACTTGACGTGATTTATTGTCTGCTTATATTCGGTCTATCATGGCGCCCAACCTCATGATGATGGGCGTAACGCTTATGCTAGCGTTCGCCACACGTTCTGTACTAGACACAGAGGATTCTTGTACGTTAATCTCGCTAACACAGTCGCGCATTTGATTAGTATCACTAACAAGTTGTAATAATTACTGTGATAGTCCAAACGGGCATTGTGCGTGGCTTGTATGGGGTCTCGCAATTCGTCTGCTACTGTGTGCTAGTATATCTGTATGTCAAGACTTTAAACAACACAGAGCCTGGTGTTGTAACTGTGAAGGAGGATCTCGGCTTTGGTCAAACTGGGGATCGCGACGAAAAGATTACAGTAGCTGAGCATGACCAACGTGCCGTCATAAAGGAGCTTCAACGCGTACGTTGCTAGAAATGCAGAAGTGACATCTTGGATGATATTCATATTCGTACTGTATCGCATATTTGTTAGACTGCGCTGGGTACATTGATGACGCTGTTGATGCATTGGAAGTGGGGCTTTTTTCCACCTCTTGTGATCCAAACTGTGACACAGCCTGTTAATTTATTCCAGGCGCCTATAGTCAAGGTAATATTGATGGGCGAGCGTGCGTGGGGTGAGCTGCGTCGCCCATGGTTAAATCGCAATGACATGAGCAAGTCAATCAACTCATGGAACAACACTATCTTGTCAGCAATGGGCGAGTCACCTGCTAAGATTAATAAGAAGGCAAGCAAGAAAGCTGCGAAGCGGAAAAATAAGTAGGAGAGATTAAAGTACTCAATGGTTTCATGAGTCAGTGTTCTTCACGAACGTCTTAGTATTGACAGCTAGTAAGCTAATCCTATAGACAAATTAGGAATCTCGCTCGTATTTCATAGTGTTTGAAATTTCGCACGAATTACCGGATACGAAACTTGAGTGGCTGAGATCTTGCAAAAGTCCCATTTAATGAATATTATTGCATCATAGATTTATCCTAATTATTGCAGTAAATGAAGACAATTATTGAGAGCACACCGTGGTGACATATCAGATGTAGTTTGATACCCGCTTATAGCGCGCTATATCCACAAAGGTTGACTCAGGTTGAATGTTCATGCACACATACGCCAGGAATAGTGGGTGAAACACAATATGCGACGAACTGTGGTTGGGACCGTATTGAAAGGTATATACCCATTATATATTCTCCTCGAACATAAGCGACGCTTTGAATCAACCAGTGGATGATTAATCAAAAAATATCCATTATTAAACGGCAGGGATCAGTGTAATAAGACTCCGTATAGATGATACTCTCGTGACCCGTGGGCTACCAGCACCACGCTATCGATTACATAGAGCGGATAAATAGTGAAGCAGATATATCAGGACTACTTTAAGCGGGACCTCACTCTTAGTATGGCAATTTTGAAGGGAGAGTTAACGAAGTCAAAATTGCTATACTAAGTGCGAGGCCCCGCTTGCACAGAAATAAATTCATTTTCTGTGCCTTTGTAACATGGACTCGAGGAGTCGGTTGCTATGAAATTCGCAAAGCTTTGTGTGAGACTCACGTATTACTCATCCAGAGCCAAAAATACACTTGTTTATATCATTCAAACCACGCAGCCTCTCGGACACTAATCTTCACGTCTCGAACAGATGTCTGTACGCTTAGTATAGATGAATACATCATGCCCTCATGCTTTGCTTTACTATACCAGATATATCTTAAAAACAGGTCTGTGCGTATGTGTGATGCGGCAAAAAAAAAAAACTGTATCACTAGACGTTAGAACGGCGCTGGTGCGTTTGACAGCTCTTGAAACTCCAAGCATGTCACTACAGTCTCTTGTAAGCACCTCTGACTTTCCATGCAATAGATCGAGGACACTGACATGTGCTAAAAGTCGTGCTTGTCAGTAGAACGGCCTCTTAGGATTCGGTGGTGGCCCCGAAATGGTAGCTGTATTTAGCTTAAGGCAAGCTATCACATTTCAAAAGCATTTCAGCTGCAGAAGCCGGCGCAAAAAACTCTCCCACCCATCCTGCTGTGTGCTTTGAATTTATGAAAGCAATTATAACGTCACACTATTCTTTTGATGGTGACAAATGACGGAACATTGGTTTCAAAAAGAAGAAAACTACATGACGCTCTTCCAAACCGCGGGCGAAACGCGTGACTCTCTCGTCAGCACATGCATGATCTGATTCGCGAACTATGTGCTCTTCAAGCGTCCTCATGACGAGTGACGAGCTAAAATTGCCTTCGGCACTACTCTTGCACATATACTATCTGAGATCAGCCACCGGATAGGGAGGGAGACTCACATCCCTATAAACTCTATTCAGGAGCGAATAAATTTTCTCGTTGCAAATTCCTGGTGCTCGATGGACATGTCACCCAAAGTTGCTGACTCAAATGCTGACAAAATGTAGCGATTGCTCTAAACCGCAATCGCTACATTTTGATAAGAGAGAGTATTCATCAATTACATTCGGTGTGAGCTACAGTCTCCTGACTTCAAACAAATTTTGCTCTGGAGGCCGCGAAAATTGCTTACTCCTTTCTGACGCGCCAGATAAAGATTACCTGGGGACCTGAGCTTACTGATGCTGCATAGTTAACCTCTAATAAACATTTTGAGCCTTTTATTTACCGTCTGATCAATGATTTAAATAAACTATAGCATACTAGAGCTTTTGCCTTCCAAGCAGGACTCAAGTCTCTGATCTGGATCATAGCCGACTACTTAGGTCACTCCTGTGTCTTGCACTGAAGCCACCAGGCATCATTTCAGCGCCAAAATGCTTCTGCATCCTAGCATGGGTGTGTATATGACTCACGAAAGCTACATAATGAGAGAAACGCGTTGCGATGAAGGTTTTGACTGTTTTCTCGATCCATGGCGCACGGTGTTTCACCTATACAAACTCAAATGTAAGCAATATGAAAGCTTGTAAGCTCTCAAATTTAGAGGGAGATACAAATATGCATTTGAGAGTTACACTTAAGGGACTCTCAGCAAGACGTACAGAGCTTTCGGTGTATTCAACAATCCTGCAGGAAGTCTACTATTATCAATAATCGTCCGTCGCTAACGATTGCGCGACATCCCTGAAGTTCCAAGACCCCCTTCAATTTCACGACTCCATGATATCCGAAACGTGTATGCTAAAAACCAATAACCTGAGCTAGCGTCCTACTCAGATCGTTGGTCAGATAAAACGCCTTACTAGCATATTGAATGATATTTTCTTATACACTCGTACGGAGTGGTTGCGGTTCCGGGGTCTACGATGATCAACGCAGTACATGCCTTTTCTCAGATTGTAATTATGATAGTTAAATCAGACTTCACCCCCGTGAAACGTGTAAGGCTCGTTTTTAGCTGGCAGTACTATTCCTGCCGTTGGTCGAAGGACTCTCACGAGTGGTTCGTAGATCGACCTTGTGCGAGAGCTTGGCCTTTCGTACGCCTTTCCCTATAGGTTAGGAAGCACAAATCATATTTAAACCATGCGAGCTCCACGGCATTGCTCGGATGTTTAGACATTACTTCTATCCTCCTCAACTTGGCTATGAGCCATTGCCACTACCCCCTGAAAGATCCCACCTCCCTCGTGTCAACCGGTTCTCGCAACTCAAAAGTATTGTTTGACACTCAATACTAATGTTAAAAAGTTTTATGATGAATGCATTTCGTCTCAGTTCAGCCGTTTTGTACATATTTCCATATAAATGCTACTACCATTTCCAGATGTGAGTCTGTCGTCATCCTAGCTATAAAATCTTTCGTCTCATAAATGTAGCTAGTTGAGTAACTTTTCTCTCTCTTGTCTGGTGAATTATATCTTGATCGCACCTTGTATGTCGGGCTTGGAAGTGCAAAACCTCGCGGTGTCTGTCGCTCGGATGGCATCAATAATTACTTATTTTGTCTTTCGTCTACTGACATCACAACAGTAAATAAAACTATTTTTGTATTGCTACGATAAAAGCAATAATAGGAAACAATTAGGTCATTGGAAGATACGATAAAACAGATTGCGCGACACTTAAAGTCGGATGCAAGATTATTTTGGAGTCAAGGATATAATCATTCTTAGCACTTTCCCTTCGTACCTACATGGAAACAGACCGTGTCTGCAACTGCGCGTCACACAAAAGGCCCGGCAAGACTTGCCTCGCCGAGCCGATAAAATCATTGGACGTGACTCATTTCGCCCAGTAACAAAAGCAGCGGTTACTACGATCATCTTGAGCACTAATCACATTGAGAACTATATTTTGTTTAATTAGTTTAATTCCAAAAGGGTGGACGATCTGCACGTTCACACCAATAACGGTTGTATTCTCAGAACCGCATTCACAGAGGAGGTAAATCTTCGGTGTAAAATGCTTACTAGTGGGCAAGTTGTCACATTGATCTCCCATTTTGGAGTCACATCACTAATATGGATGAGAGTACGCATTATCAGAAAAGACCCATTGATTCTGTACTTACCTGAAAAGCAATTTGCCCTCGTGAGTTAGCTATTGTAAAAAGGAGCATAGAAACTACCCAAATTAACACATTCAGTGATATCGTTAAAGACTGCCCCAAATCAACAGTCCTATCTAAATGTCGTTCGGAGTTTGCGCAATTCGTGCAAAGGGGGAGACTCGAGCGTAGCATTTCATTTCTTTCAGATAATCTATACGATGGCTTCTTATGGTGAGGTAATCCAATCTCAACATAGGATCGCTGTCTTTTCGACATACGAGGCGTTTTTCATTCAAACAAATTATGAGTTGGTCTTCGGAACGTAATACGATATATGCCATAATCGGTAAACATTAGGAGTAATATGATCAGGCCCGTTTAGCCTTTCGTATCGAATGAAAATTAAATGGGATATTTATAGTTCTTGGTACATCCTTCTCTGACGCGATTTCCGAAATTGATGAAGAAATTAGTACTGATGGTCTCTGAATTTTCTTTGAATTTGGGATGTTTGAGTTGCAGCGATTATAAATCTGTACCGGAGGAAGTCTAGATTTAGATCTAGGTCTAGATTGTGTTCATATAGATTGCCACTGTGTAATCATCCAACGGCAACTGTACAGAGTACCATAACTGCCGAGGACTCCGAAAAACAAATCGAAGTGGTCCGTGAAGCTCATGGGATGTTAGACTCGCGTCATATATTAGTATTAATCGTTGAATATCATATATTTTAAATAGTGAGCTAAAGTATACATAGATTTGATCTTATGGTATTTTAAATTTAAGTATGACCAAACAAGTATAAGTTATTTGAGAGGTCTACCACCTCGCGACTGGCTAGTGCTTTTGAGCCCATTTTCAACGCGGTGTATGGTCACACGCTTTGAGTCAAAGCTTCTGTGCATAATATACGTCGACCTTGTTGCAAAAAGCTCGTACGGGAGCAGATTATGCCAACCAGATAAAGTCTATGCTACATGAGATCATCAGTGTGTCAGCTAAGTAATAGTCCATAGGACGGAATGTAATGTGCAGAAATTCAGACACCAAGTGTCAGCACTCAACCTTTTTATTGTGTGTTGCAACTCTTACAAGGAGGTATCTCGAACTCTGCATTTGTCAAATAATACGAGTCAATAAGCCATAAATAATCCATATCAATCAAGGATTCAATTCAATTGATTTGCTCAAGCTAGATACTTTACTGGTCCAAACTTAACCCTTCATATAAGTGAGGGCAGTGACCATCAAGTCAGTGCCAGAGGCGAAACAGTGGTGAATGTTGCTGCA